GCAATACTCAATAATTGTCAAAAACAATATGTAACATGATATCACCAATAGAATACACTCAACATTTGGGAGAGCAATCATGATGTCTTTAGTCATGGCAAAGTTTTGTACAGCTGGATGGCCTGAAGGGCCGTAATATTACAAAGTATCTTGAGTTTGACAACATCCAGCCAGCTTATGTTGATGGATTGGCATATCCCAAGTCCTTCCTGATCTGATTCCGTCGCTCGCTCTCCTGCTTCCGCCACTCCTCGTCGTTGACATTCGTCTGGAATCCCTGCGAGAAGGCCACGCCGGGCGGCAGCCTCTCTGGCCTCGACTCCCACACGTCCTCGCTGCTGTGGCGCCCAGGGGCGTAGTACTTGGCGTGCTCCTTGTTGCGGTAGTGCTGGCGGACGGCGTCGGCCTTCGCCTGCCCCGTGTGGGACTTTGTGCGCATGCAGAACCAGAAGTCGTCCCAGTGCTCGGAGCAGGAGCGCATCTCGCCGTGGCGGTAGACGGCGTTCCACTGGCCGCCGAGGGAGTTGCAGGACCAGGCGAGGTCGAAGGCCTGGCGGCAGGACATCTCGGTCGGGAGGAGGGCCTCGGAGACTGGGCCGCGGGGCGGGGCGTTGGGGACCTCCTCGGGGGCGCGGGAGGATTTGAGGGATAGCCATGATGCTATGGAGGAGGAGCCTGAGTCGGAGGCGGTGTCTGTTGAGGGTTGTGGCTTCTGGGAGCTGGTTGTGGAGGAGGAGGAGGCGTCGGCCTTGAAGAGGTCGTAGAGTTTTTGGATTTCGGGGTCGGTGGATTGGCTGGGGGGTTGTTCTGCGGGCGCGGGTTTCGCCTCGGCTGGTTTGGGTTCTGTGGAGAGCGTTGGAGGTTTATCAGAGGGCTGCGATGCCCAGAGCCAGCCCATGGTGAAGGATTGTGGTCGTTGTGCTGGGTATATCTCTCTTCAATGGCCTGGCAGCGCAAGATGTAGGTGGGTGGGATTGAAGACTAAGGATCGCAGCAAAGGACCGGGTAGATGTTGTCGCAAGAAACGCGGGGAAGGACTGGATGGATGTATGTATCGAGGCTCGTACGAGTGTTTAGGCTGAATATGCAGGAATGGCCAATCGGAGTGACAAGAACAATGGTTTTGGAGAGATAAAGTGTCGACGTTGATTATCAGCGCGATCATTGGCTTCTTTTTTTTGTAGATCGCCAATGGCACTCAAAAGGGCAAATTGGGTAAATGCCGGAATAACTAATGCCTTTGGCCTTGCGATACGCTACATCACTGGCTATCTACTACTCTACTGGGCTTTTGAATGCTTGGCGATGGGCAAGAATGAAGACAAGCCAATGGCTGTTACAATTATTTGATTATTGTTTAGTTATTCTTGATTGTCTGTTGTGATGTCGAATCCCTGAGAGTCGATCTCGATGTATAGGGCTGGGTGGGGAGGGTGCCATAGCCCAATGCTGTGGAATCCCATAGATCAAGACTAGGGAATCTATAGAGCTTCTTGTATTCCACATTCGATGAAAAGATTATAATATTCTAGTAATCTAGCATGGTAGCTGTTATAATATATCTCAAGTAGATATATGATGTTATGATAAAAGCTCTGATTATCGTTGGTGGGTCGCAAGATGGTCGCATTTGAACAGTGGTTCAATGCCCAAAAACCGATGACCTCATTGGTCCATAAATCAATAAGTCGTAAGGTAGCAGCAAGCAGGTTAGTTAAGGCAGGAGAAACCCGTGCCGGTGCCTTACTACCTCGACCTGCTAAAATTCCTGGCATTTCTCGCTTCTCCTCTCTCAGCTCTCTGTAAATAGTCCCGGCTGCTCATGGTGAGAGAGTCGCCATGTTTCGCCTGCGAGGGGTTGCAACTCCAATAGTGAGGCCGTCTCTTGCGACGAGACCTCGGCTTACCAGCCCGGGCCTTTTCGCCGTCGGCCGACACACGGTAGCTCCCGTACGACTGACCAGCAGAGCATGGGAAAGCACCGCCAGTTCTCCAAAGTCTGGAGAGAAGGAGGATGGTCATATCGCAGTCAATTCCAACGAGTCAATTCTCTTCTTTGACAGTATGTCGGCGACCAATTATTCATACTTCTGAAGAGTGACCAGTCGAAGGGCATAGGTGCTGACTTGATGCAGATATCTTCCCTTTGAAACTAAGCACCATTCTAAACCGGCCATGGAAGACCAATCATGATGTGGCCGACTTGCTGCAACGCTTTGAGAGCTCAAGCCTGGGGACTCTGGATCCTATCAGGCTTGTCAAGACTGCTATTCCGCAAGACATGGGCATGAAGGTCACTGAGATTAACCCGCGATTAAAGGACGGTGGTGCCTTTGTGAAATTTGAGCACGAGGCCTCTTTGGACCCGGCGGAGATTGAGCGTGAGTGAAATATGGTGAATTACTTGACCATTTGTGGCAATATACTGATTTATGATACTAAAGAGACTCTTACGGATAAACTCAAAGCAAATCCTCTGAGACCTTGGTTCAGCCCGTTCCGCGGGATTCAGGCACGTCTTGTGCGGGGCACGCCTTGGCTAGAGGACCTCTATAGGTATCCCTCAAGCTATGTCAGAGTCGAATTTGTCACCAACGAGCCAGGCACAAATCCGCAAGAGCTGTCAGAAGAGACGCTGTATCAACTTTTCAGAAAATACGGCAAGATTGCTGATATCATTCCACAGCCACAAGATAGCAAGGTGACGCCAAGATACGCTCATCTGAGCTTCCCCTTGCTCAGAGATGCTATCATGGCTCGTAACTGTATGCATGGATACATCGTGGGAGAGACTCTCGGTGGTGGGTTGAATGGAACCCGACTGCGGATGTCCTATGATAAGCGTCCTAAAACAAATAGCATCTGGGACTGGCTCACGAATCACCCGCGCATCGTTATTCCTGTCCTGGCTGCTCTCCTTGCCGGTATTTCGGTCATTATTTTCGATCCGATACGCCAATTTTTCGTCAAGCTACATATCCAGCATTCATTCCAGCTATCAGACTACAAAATATACAAGTGGTTCAAATCCCAAACCGGCAATCTCAATTTTGGAAGGCAAAACACACAGCGCGATGACCTGAAAACTGTTTGGAAACATCGCAGCGACCTTATCTCTCAACTCCAAAGTTGGCTTGATGGCTCTTCAGATACTTTCATCGTCGTTATGGGTCCAAAGGGTTCCGGGAAGAAAGAAATGGTTATGGACCAGGGTCTGAAAGGCAGAAAGAATATCCTTACCATTGATTGCCGTCCTATCATTGAGGCTAGGGGAGAAGCTGGCACCATTCGTAAACTCGCGATTGCAGTCGGGTACCGACCCGTTTTCTCCTGGGCAAACAGTATCAGTAGTCTTGTGGACCTGGCTGTTCAAAGCACGACTGGTGTCAAGGCTGGATTTTCCGAGACTCTCGAGTCTCAACTCACCAAGATCCTTTATACCACAAGTGCAGCGCTGAAGGATGTTGCTCTATCGAGACGGACAAAGAAGGATAAGGATGCAGATCTATCCGATGATGCCTATTTGGATTCTCACCCGGAAAAGCGACCAATCCTTGTCATTGACAACTTTTTGCACAAGGCAGACGATCAGGCTGTTGTCTATGAGAAGATTGCGGAGTGGGCGGCGTCTATTGTTCAAAACAAGATAGCCCACGTCGTATTTCTCACAAACGATTCCTCCTTTACCAAGCCGCTCTCTAAAGCGCTACCGGATCGAGTATTGCGGGAGCTTTCCCTTGGCGATCTTGATCCCAAGGTTGCGAGAAACTTCGTCCTCGGCCGCCTGAATGACCACGAAGAAGAAGTGGCCGAAAATGAGAGCGACGAAAAGGATGGCCAGCCTCCTAAGCAACGCAAGATCGATTATAGGGGCTTGAACACCAGTATTGAGACCATGGGAGGTCGACTGACAGATCTTGAGTTCTTGACTCGTCGTATCAAGGCCGGACAGTCCCCCAAGGAAGCACTTGATGAGATTGTTGACGAAAATGCCACTGACATTGTCAAGATCTTCTTACGTGGAAAGAATGGCGACGATGAGAAGAAATGGTCAGTCCAGCAGGCCTGGCATCTTATCAAGTCTCTTTCCCAAGGACCTAGTCTCCGCTACAACGAAGTCGTTCTTTCAGCTCCGTTCTCTTCGTCTCTCTCACCAGGGGCCAAAGATGCCGAGGCTGCCCTCGAGGGCTTGGCCAACGCAGAACTCATCTCAATCAAGTATCACCTGGGACGGCCACAGACCATTCAAGCCAGCAAGCCTCTGAGCCAAGCTGCGTTCCAGCTTATTCTCAATGACACGGTTCTCAGAGCCAAAATGGAGCTTGCTAATCTTACCGAGATGTCAAAGTTTGAGGCAAAAACCATCGAAACTGCAGAGACTGAACTCTCACTCCTAGGACACCTTCCCAAGCAGACTCGCGAAACATCGTTGCGGGTCTCATACCTCCTGAAGAAACTGGAATCCAGCCAGCAAAAGATCACAGACTTGGAGAGGGAAATGGGCGAGTTGAAGCAGATCCTGAGGCAGGAGCATTAGGATGGGCGTCGGGACGAGCCGAAGACTCATTACTCTCGCGAACTGGACCTGGGGCGGATGGATAGGGATAGTTTGCAACTCTGCTTAATGAATGTACATATATTATCATCCTCCTCATAAAAAATTGATTTTGTAGACGTATTGAGACAGAAATCGCTTGTTCCACCTTCAAATAACGTCATCAGATTGTTCGAGTTTGTTAGACAAAGAGAATATGAAGCTAGTAACAGATGCTCGCCGTTGGAGGACGACAGGTTTTTATCGTGAAAACATATATGCGCCGTTCGACACGTGGTATCAACAAAGTCAAAACAGGTAAATCAACTTATTTCCCCCCTCCCAGTAGTCCTATTCGCCCCCAGTCATGGCCAATGATAGTAGAGATGAAGATGCCGCCCAAAGTCCCCTCGTGTGTTGAGCCGCTCGGCTTGTTAATTTTCGTCTGTGATTTTTTGCGATTTGTTCAGCCCATTTGGGTGTCATCGGGTGATACCCCAGATGCTTGAGCGGGCACCTCGCAGGCTTGGGAGAAGAAGATGCGGGCGTTTGTTTTTGACTCGTTTGTTATGCTGTAGTAGTTGCCTGTACACATGAGTATGTTAGTCAAAGAAGTCGTTTTTGGGACAGATGCAATGTAAGATCTCACCTCTATGAACGAACCACTGACCACCAGCGGATATGCGGAATTCGGATTCGTTGACAGTGACGGTGACCTTGCCGTAATGGACGAAGAAGACCATGTGCATTTTTCTCGAGTTCTTCGGCCTCTTCTCCGTTCCCGGGGGTAGATCGACGATGCCGGCGCCCATGAAGGGCATTGTGAGAGTCTTGGCGAAGCGGAAAGTGGCATCCTTGATGTCCTTGGTCTGAACCGCCTCGGCCGACACCGCAATGAGGTCCTCATGGACGGGAACCTGGTCGTCGTCGGCGGGCGGATGGGTCTCGTACTCGGGCTCCCACCCCATGACCTCGCCAAAGACCTGGCCCGGGTCCGATTCCCACTTGTCGGGCTCCTCCTCCTCGTCGACCGCCTTGAGCTGCCTGGATTTCCCCTTTAGGCGTCCTCTCCCGCGAGGCCCGCGTCTCGTGCCAGAGGGCTCGTCCTCGGGATTCCGCACGATCCCCTTCATCGACATGGACACGAACCCGCGGTCGTTCGTGAACATGTCGTCGCGCTCCTCCACCTCCTGGATGACCTGGTCGCCAGCCCAGTAGTTAAGCGGCCGGTACGAGTGTCTGCCTGATCTGGTCTGTACTATAGCGTCTGGATCACGCTTGACGGAGACCAGGCCGCGGCGCTTGGGTAGAGGAGGGCCCTTTTGCAGCGCCATGAATGACTGTTCTCCCGCATCTCCATCTGGAACACTGACTTTCGGTTTCCGGCCTGGCCTACCCCTCGGCTTCGCTGCTGCTGGTGCTGCTGCTTTTGGCGCTACCTCGGCAGGAGGTGCTGCCTTAGCAGTTCCATTCACTCGTTGCTTTTTGGTTTGCCGAGGTGCTTCCTCCTCTTCCTCCTCTGGTTCTGCAGCTTCCTGACTACTGTTGGAATTTCGGGGCGGTCTCCCCCGAGACTTTTGCGAGGGCTGTGATACGGCTCCTGCCGGTTTGCTAGCCGCTTTTGCAGGTCTTCCTCTGCTCTTCTTTACAGATTGCTGTGGTGCCGCGGTGGGGGTGTTAGACCTGCGGTCTTCAGATGCTGGTTCGGATTCAGGGAGTGAAGTCCTGGGCCTCCCGCGCTTTCTCTTCCCTGCTGTTGGTTGGGGTGACGGAACCTCTTCTTCCTCCTCCTCTTCCTCGTCATCGTCATTCTGCGGACCAGCTGACTCGTCGTAAGTGGGAGCCACTTCTACCTCATCATCGTCTTCCTCTTCCTCTTCCCGTGATGCCTCCAGACGGCCCCCTAGGTTGCCATTGAGTCTCCCACGTCCCTTAGCGATGGATTGGAAATCAATGTTGCGCGTCACTGTCGCATCCCTACTGCCACCGTTCGGCGAAGACTCTTGACCGGGATATGTGGGCGCACGCCCCGCGGGAACGCTTCTCTTAGTTGGCGATCGGGTCTCGGATGGGGACGGCTGATACCTGCGCTGCGCTCTGAGTATCGTTTGAGGCCCGGGTCCAGCACCTACGGGCTCGTGTTAGCTATCTGGGTCATCGTAGACCGCTTGATCTGGAGGTGGCATTCGCGCACTGTTTGTGATTTCCATATCCTCGCTCCCCGTGTCATCGCCGCCATCTTCCTCATCCTCGTCGCCCTCGTCGTCCTCGTCATTAGCGTCATCGCCATTGGGCGATTCGGACGGCTCCCGCCGCGGCGATGAGAAGATGTCCTCGAGTGGTTGGAAGCCGTCCTTGTCGACCTTGTCCGTGGGGGGGAGGAATACACCGGTTTTTCTATTCCGCAAGAATCAGCACTCTCTCTTTTCTCCTTTATCGCGTTTTCTCTTTCCGGCGCATGGGCGCCCGCCGGATTCTTGTGTACATACCGCCCTTGCACTCCAAGCTGGTGGAAAGCTTGGGGTTCTGAGGACTCAACGCGGCGCCCACGGGGAGCCATGGCGGTCTAGCTGCGGATTGTGCTGAGGGTATGACCTAGATTGATTATTTTCGGCATGCGCGGGCGACTATCGATATCGTGACAATATTGCAGCGCCAGAGGTCGCGCAAGTGTTGGAAAGTCGTGAGGGCATGCGCATGAGGAGGGACGCAGATCAACAAAACAATGCGGCATGTGGTGTTGCGACTAGGGACCTGTAAACTGGGGAGGTACGGTGAGGTTACAGCGGTCAAAAGCCCAATTCCACAGACGCGACGTGCTGTGAGACACTAAGCAAGCTGCACCAGCAGAGTCAACACACCACCACCGGCCACTAAAACTGCTGGTGCAGGGGCTTAGGCTGGCGTCGATTGCAAAAGCCCCTCCGCTGTAAGACACGGCAGTCAGGAACGGTGCTAAGCTACCAGGGATCGTCGTCGTTGCAAAGTCAATTTATGTTCCATATGATATTAGATGGCTATAGCCATTGGATAATTGTTTACTCACAGCATTATTCGTACCATTTTATTAACAACATTATATTCTTGACAGGCATATCTTCAGCGTTGCACCCCTGTTGGGCGAGAGTCTCCACCCATTGACTGGCCAGACAACCAACCCGCAATCAATTAACCAAGCTTTGTCCAACACGCCTTTTTTCTTTCTAACGCGTCAAGCTCCAACCACACGCGTTGTGGGGTGCCGATCAGCAGGGACAACCACCCAGACATATAATCTTGCATCCCAACTCGACGTCTTCCAACACACTCTCAACGTCGAATTCGAAGAATACTCTCTACGGATCATCAGTGGATCTCGAATTACCCCAAATCATAGCGAACGAGCGCATTGACCCGCCACAATGGACGAGCCTCAAACAGAATCCCAGGCCGCCGCCGTCGACGACACCCAGCTCTCCAACTCCGACACCTTCATCCCCCCATCCGTCGCCAGAGACGCCCTCCTCTCCGGCGCATCCTCCCGCTACTTCTCCCCCGTCCCGGACTCCCTCAAGCCCTCCGACCCCTCCGACCCCTCCACCGCGCCGCCCTGCTGCCTCGGCGTTGACGAGGCCGGCCGCGGTCCCGTCCTCGGCCCCATGGTCTACGGCGTTTTCTACCTCCCCGTCCCCCTCTCCTCCCCCCTCCTCCGCACCGCCCACCACTTCGACGACTCCAAGGTCCTCACGCCCGCCGTCCGCTCCTCCCTCATGCGCGCCCTCTGCACCCCCGCCACCGACCTCCACGCCTCGTGCGGCTGGGCCACCGCCTCCCTCTCCGCCCGCGACATCGGCGCCAACATGCTCAAGCCGGGCGGGTCCTACAACCTCAACGCCCAGGCCATGGACGCCACCATCGACCTGATCCGCTCCGTCTACGCCCTCGGCGTCAACGTCACGGAGATCTACGTCGACACCATCGGCCAGCCGGAGGCCTACCAGGTCCGGCTGCAGCGCCTGTTCCCAACGGCCCGCGTCACCGTCGCCAAGAAGGCGGACAGCCTCTACCCCTGCGTCAGCGCCGCCTCCGTCTGCGCCAAGGTCACCCGCGACGCCGCCCTCGAGGTCCTGTGGGACGCCAGGGGCGAGGAGGGCAAGATGGGCTGGGGGTCCGGGTACCCCAGGGACGCGACCCCGTGGATGAGGGGCAGCATGCACCCCGTCTTCGGCTGGGGGCACGAGTGCCGCTTCAGCTGGGGCACGGCCAAGGACATGCTCGAGGGTAAAGGGGAGGGCGTCAAGGTCGACTGGCCGGCCGAGGACGACGGTGAGAGCAAGCTCACTGACTTCTTCGTTTCTGGGAATGACGACGGCGAGGCGGATGAGCTCGGTGCTTGGTTTGGGAGCTCGACGGGCCTGGAGGCGTTTTAACGGGTAGTCTGTCTTTAATTAAGGGATGGCGTTTTGGAGCAAACGACGTATAAATCATCACAGGGAAGACCACGTTTGGCGTTGAAGAGAGGGAACTTTGGGAAATTTGTGTATTGGGAACTTTTATTTTCATGGCCAATTATGTATTTGCAGCTCACTGCTCGGACCAGGATATGCTCAACAATGTCAAACAGCTATAATTATTACATCAAAAGTCATCATCATCGGCGGATGTGTTGGTCTTCTTGCCCCTGCTGTCCAAAGTGTCCAGACCAATATCGGCGCTGGTGCTGTTGCGGTTGGCGGGGACGCCCACGGCCTGTCGGGTGCCTTCGGAGTTGATGATGTATTCACGCAGTCTCGCCTTGCCAATGTCAAGGCCCTGGGTGATGGCGGCATTGCCCATGTGCATCATGGGGCCAATGAGATTGAGCGTGTAGGCCACATATGTGCCACCTGCAATGAGGAGGAGCAGCAGGATCAGGACTGGGTTTCGAAGAACTGTAAAGGCGGTTAGTAAAAGTGCTCAGTTGAACTGTTGTGCCAAATGCTGGATGCTTACCAGTCAAGATCTCGTTCCAGCCAAGGGCCAGGAGGAGCATATAGAAGTACCAAGGGATCTGAGCGACTCCACCAATTGCGCTTCGCTTGGCCTCCACGAAAACACCGTCTGCCGTCTTCTTGAACCGCACAACCAAATCCTGTCTCTTGCTCTCGCTGAGCACAGTAGTCTCTTCCTCGAGACTCTTACCCTCCTCTTCGTCAACACCTCCAATGGGCGACAGGTCCTCTTCATCCCCAGCTTCAACTCCAGAAGGCTGTGGGCCAATAAAGGAGATGAGGTCGGGGGGCGCGTAGGTAGATGCGAGCCTGAACCTCGATAGCAGAGGAATGAGCTTGAGAGTTGACTCCCTAGCCTTGGTGTAGATACCCTCGATATCGTCGGTAGGGCGCCATATCCTTGGCACTCCAGCCTCGTCGTAGCGGAACTTGTCCTCGAAGTTTTCGCGGAGCTTCAGGAGGATGTTCCCTTCCATGACCTCTTCGTCAATCTTCTCCCGTAGAGCTACCCAACTCTTGCGACGCAAGCGCCAGGTGCCAACCTCGACCTCCTCATCACTGGCATCGAAGCTCTTTGCCCGGTCGACAAATCGCACCTCGGCCTCCTTGACAATACCGGCAAAGACGTTCCAGATTCTGTCCCAGAGATCCTTCTCTGTTGCGGACTTGCCTTCGGCTTCAGAAGCATCGGAGCCGGCCCTACCGGATCCAAGCTTGTTGAACTCCACGCCGATCGCTTCGCCAAGCCGGGATTTGACCCATCTCTCCACGCGCACGGCCAGTCGTCGCATTTCTTCCTTGCGAAGTTTGCCGCTCACCTCATCGAGTTCTGACTCGAATAGCAAATATTGGGACTTGAAGTTAGTCCAGGGCACACCTTCGATCGCCAGACCTTGTGCCTCAGCCTTGAAGATCTCAAGCGTCTTCTTCTTTTCGTTAGACACGATCTCGGCAAATTCATAGGCGCCGCCTGCTTTCTGTCCTGCCTTGACCTTGTTGGAAACGGCGTCGCTGAAAGCAGCGACACCAGCCTTGTGTGCGGCAGTGAGCTGCCCCTGGTACAGCGCCTTGAGGCGGGTATCGATCTTGCCCTCCAGCTCTTGTCTCTTGCGGGTGTAGACGCCCTTGTGGTACCGGCTAGCTTGGAGCTCGAAGGCTTTGATGGCCGCTTGTCTGGACTTGCTACCGGAAGGTCCGAGGTCTTCGAGGACCGTAGGCTTGCCCAGTCTCACTGCTTCGGCCTGCTTCTCCTCGAGCGGTGAGATGACGTTGTCAAAGTTGACGAGAACCTCTCGAGAGATCTCGTCGCATCGGAATTGGGCGAGAAGCTCTTGCTGCGTGGGAAGATCGAGATCCTTGTTGTTCACAATTTGGTCCCAAATTCCTTCTGCGTAGACGGAGAAACCGTCGGCGGGGATTCTCCTGTGGTACTCGGGCAGGAAGAGGCCACCCTCAAGCTCGTTCTCGGTGCGACTTCCCTTGTTGCGGTGGCCAGCAGTGAATCTCGAGCCAAGAACGTGAACCTCGCTGACGAACTTCTCGCCCTGCAGAATCTTGTGCGGTAGTGCGGCGAAGCCGAAATCAAAGTAGTCCTCGATACGAGAGTTCTCGAGCCCCTGGGGTTTGGAAATGGACGACCAGAGCTTGGTCAAATCCTGGATCAAAGTCTCTCGAAGATTAGCAAGAGGAGTGGTGCCGAGGTGATCACGGATAACGAAGAAGAGAAGCGACCGGGGGGTAGACCTGATGTAAGTGTTAGTAAAAATATTGGCCGTCACCGCCAAAGACGCCATGCACTCACTGTTTGTCCTTGAGGAACAGCTGAAGGTTGACCTCGAAGACAGTCTTGAGCAGGCCCATGTTTGCGCCCTGATACAAGCCTACTTGGTGCTCCCAGATGTTGAGCAGGAGAACCTCGCTTGTGGCTAGCGCAAAAAGCGCGCTCTTCCTCTCGAAGTCCTGGTCCTCGCCGCGCTCTCGGCCGTCGGTTCCCTCGACGTCCATGACCAGGATGTTCTCCGCCATCGTGGTGCCGGCACTCTCGGTTCGCTTATTTTTGGACAGCCAGATACCCTTGGTGGTCTGCTGGCGCTGGGTCTCGGACATGACGGAGAAGTCGGTTCCAAAGAGATTGTTCAAGAGGGTGGACTTTCCGGTGGACTGCGACCCGAAGACGGAGATGAGGTGGTAGTTGAAGCCAGCTTCGGCCACATGCTCGAGCTGGAGGTACTCATTGAGGTTGGTGCTGCGGATTGAGGTTCGGGTCAGTCAAGGAAGGGCGGAGGGTCGGTGCGCGGTTGACATACTTGAATTCCTTGTCCTCGTCAATGACCTGCACGCCATGGCTGAAGCTGCCAGCAGTCGGCTGGTCGCCGACTTTTGCCATGTGGCCATTCATTTGCGCAAGTTGGGGGGAAGCTCAGCTTCCAGCTCCAGCATTAATATTAGTTAGAGGTGGCGGGAGGTGGGAGAGCGGGACAGATATAAGGAGAGAGGACAGAACGCAAGCTGAACGAAGGATAGAAACTTGGCTGGAAGCTCTGATTCTGGGCTCGGGTGGCAGCGGTGTAGACAGGTAGCGAAGGGACAA